CGTCATTTTTAAAAAGCAGCCAGCTCATGAAAAAATAGGAGTGGTAGATTCTCAATGGATTGTGCATCAAACGGTTCCTTCACTTGGAAACCAGGTGATTTTTGAGATCTCACCTTAGATAAGTGTCATCTGGAATTTCTCATCGCAAATTTTCCCCTTTTTACAGGGTAAGGCAGAAAAAGGCAAGGCGCCATGGGAAGGGGTATGTGACAACTTAACTATAATACATTCTTCATTTCTCACTCTGTATTAGTCTCAAATGCCATCTTGACTAATTCATATTCATAGCACAACGAAGCCACCATGTGTCACCTAATGATATCCATTTATCTACGTAGCACTAATCACATATAATACTTGTACCATCCTTCTAACTGAATTTACTTGAGGGATCCAAATTTCTTGTTTTTACGACCCCTCCTCTTCTGTGGCTTAGGTAAGGGAGCGGTGTAGAAATGAGTGGTCTATGTTTCAGGACCGCATTACTGCTGCAGAAAAAGCCTACTACGATGCTATGGGAATTGATCCACCCAATTCCACAGCTCGTTAGGTGGATCGTTTGGCTTGAACACTGCATCGACACTTCTCAATTCTCATTGACATACTCAGCGGTAACCTTAACAATAGAGAAGGCTTGTTCTTGTTTGAACTAGTTTTCATTAATACAATTTTCCTTTTTCAAGCTTCGCCAAGGTAGGACATTGTATTGAAGGAAGGCTTATACTGTTCTCAAAGAAAAATGACTCCTAATTTACCTCAAGAAAAAAAATGACTCTCAATAAACTCTACTTATGTCAACAATCCTAAGTAATCCATTTTCACTCGCATAATTATGTCCTTAAAACTATGTATCCTCTCTAAGCAAAACTTGTTTCACAGAACACATTCAAAACGTCTAAGGAAAGTGAATAAGCAAATAAGTTGAGTATAACGGCCTTACCAATTGAATCTCAGCGCAAGGCTATCAAGTGTGCACAGCTGCAAAAGAGAAAAAGAATACCGTCGAGTTAAGAGTCTAGTTGTCATTTATGAAGAAAAAATTGTTGCATTATTCTCCAAGCTCATTTAACATGGTAATAGAGGGTAACCTGAATTGAAAAATATTGTTGACATCCTACCTGCCCCGAGCCTTACCAAAATCAGCACACACAGCTCGAATATATGTCCCTTTTGAGCATGTCACCTGGAAAATAACATTTCGCCTGTCGTCTAAACTTCGTTCAACGCTGAACTCAAATATGGAAATCCATCGTGGTGAAAGTTCAATGCTTTCTCCTTTTACAGCTTTCTCATACATCGCCAACCTACCATATGGAGAAACGTGAAGTCAGCATTCAAATGCTGTAATAACTGAAATGTGCATAAACTTGTGGTATGATAACAACTAATTTGAAATTCTTCTCTGTATATATACATCTCTTTGTTCCATTAGCAAACATGTATTCTATCCCATAAGAAAATAAAGCATATTATGCTTGGTGTAACCGTCACAATTTGCTACTTATACCAGACAATAAATCGCTGCTTCTCACTCTATCAAAAAACAAGATCCAACCCTACTAAATAATGCAATTGTACAGCACAGTGGGGCAGAAATCTTACTTTGATGGCAGAGAACATAGGAGGGACTTGCCATATCTCTCCACAAAAGGACAGAGCAGCTTTCTCAATGTCCTCATTTTTAGCCTTGTTTGACCCCCATTAATTTACATTTCATTTTTCCCTCTCCTATTTTTAACTACATAATCTTTCATAAAATAATATTACACGTAAATCGAAAAATTCTCCTTCTTTTTCAACCACTCATTTTTCAAAAAAATATTATTCCACCAATTTTCATTTTCCTAAAATGGGGGCCAAACAGGGCTTAATATGTTCCCAACACTCACGCTGTATAACCTGAATAACAAGGTACATAAATTCGCGTATTGCCTCTCTAATTTTGTCAATGATAACTGCAGATAGGAAGTCAAAAAAGAAAATGTAGGAGAAATCATGGTAATCAACCTTGTAGACATTGAGAAATTTGGGTTTTGCTTGGTGTACATAATTTTCTGTACATCAAGGTGTNTACTGACGCACTTTGACTCTATGAGATGATCTGCAACCCTCAAAAGAAAAAAGAAAAAATAAAATAATTCAAAAACTGAAAAATACAAAATTATTCACATATCCATAATATAATATTGCACTGAAATTTAAAGTATGCTTCAACCAGAAAAATGAAATAGATTGATAAGTAACAATACATAAAAGATCGCTAATTTTGGGCTAGAATTAAGAGTCTTCAATAACATGAACAAATGACTAACTAACTAAGAATCTTACTTCCTTTAAGTTTTTAAGAGAAAGAAAACACTGAAGTTATGTGTGTTAAGTATCTTATCATTGCATGTCTACCTATGATGCTCGAATTCGGGTACGGATATGTATCTAAGTGTTGGATATTTTATTTTCTAAAATATGGGGAATGGGGACATGGCTAAAAGAAGTCCAAATTTCGAACACGGGTACGTAGGTACATCTTTCAAATCTCAATTTGGTTTTTTAGTTTTTTACTTTGATATTTCCGTATTTTTTGAATTAAAAATGATGAATTGAAAAAAGAAAAAAAGATTAGTTGTATTGTTTGAATATTTTATTAAATTAAAATATGTCCGGTGTAA